TTATCTACAATGCAATGTCCTCTCTCTTTAGAAACAATGTATGTTTACATTTGCAATATTAGCTTTGTTCAAATGTTGGACAATGTAAAGAGGACTTACGATGCAGCTGGTCACCAGAAATGACTTCTAACCTAGTCATGCTTGTTGAGACCATACAAGAGAAGAAGGGGGTTGGAAGAACTGCCTGTGACAATAATCCTGTCAATTGCTGCATCATATTTTCCTTAAACATGATACTCACAGCAGGTGCATACTGAGTTACCCTCGCTGCCCCATGACATCCTGGAAGAGATGAACATTTCACGTTTCACCTTCATGGCTTGATGTAAATCAGATGATGTCACTAGCAGTTTTCTAGGCTGTTAGACTATCTCAAATGCCATTAAATCCCTTGTGCCACATAGTGAGCTCTCTACTTCATCATTTACCATAATAACTTACAATAAAAGTAGATTTCCTTTATACTGTCTCAATGCTTTCCCCCACAGCAGCAAGACACACTTAAGTAGCTCTTTAATTCACTGTTCTTAAATTGCATCTTTGTCAGGGCAATTCTAAGGTCTGTGGAAGGCCCTTGACCAAGTGCACAGCTTTATATTGTTAACAGTTTGACAAGAGAGTGATTCATGTGTAACAGCCTTTAATGTTTGAGATTTTGCTGCTGTGGTTATTATTTGGAGAGCAATTTAGGTAATTTACTCCAGGAGCACTGGAGCTAAGGAAGGCTCTTTTGTGATGGGTTTGTGCTGAGTGTTCCTGGTGGCTGCTGTAGCACCGAACCTGTTAGAGAAAGAAATACAGAATAACACTTTCAGAAGAATAGTGTTGTAATCATGTAAAATAACATCTGGAGACTGTGGAATGGGCACAGACAGAGAGATGGATGGATTGTATCATGCAACGCTTTAAGCCAGTGGCAGCCTTGGGACTAGAATTTGCACTCAGCAGCTCTTTGCAGAAGCATGAGAGGTATTCTGCTTTGGGGACAGTGCAAGGCTTAAGCATACAGCTCCTGTGTTCCACTCAGGAAATCCCAGAGATGTACTTGCCATGGGTACTAAGAGGCAAGTGTAAAAACAGCTCTAAAGCATGTGTGCTGAGTCTGACAGAATGCTAGATGTTTGGTCAAATTCCTTTTTTTCATGTGGACACAATTTGTGGTTGGAAAAAGACAAAAAACAACAACAACAACAACAAAAAAAAACCACCAAAAAACCTGAGCAGTGAAAGTCTTATTTGGGCAGCAAATCTTGCTAGCTCACTGTGGAGGAGTATTGGAAAATTATTACTCTCTATGTACAGACTCTCAGTTTAGAGATAGGAAGCTCTTGAACTCTAACCAGGAGCTGAAAGAATACCAACACAATTTCGTCTCTCTTTCATTGCCATTGAAACTGAGATGATAAAATGGCTAACACCACCTTTAAAAGCAGTGAAAGCGTTAGTTAGGTTTTTCATAACACTTAAAAAGCTGAAGCATTTACTCTTAGTATAAATCTACATATAGAATTCAGTTAAATAATAAAATCAAATCTTCTTAAAGAACTGTGTTAGATTTTATGACAACCTCGTAACTACAATGGTAGTATCTTAGGAGTCTCACAGAACTTCCTCTAATAAAACATTCCTCATATGCGATTTTTTTTTATGCCTTCAATGGACAATGTTTCCAAAGGAATTTAGGATTAGTAACTCAATTAAAAAAACAGATTTCTTACAATGGAGATTCAAGAGCTGGTACTCTATGTTAAACTAGGATTCAGAAAAGATTAAAACAATTAATTTTTGCTTCGTCTTTAATAGAAAGCTGGATAGTAAAATATCCTAAAGGCCTCTGTTCTACTTATTGGATTACTTTGAATTGTGCTTTTGACAGGCACCACATTGTTGTTTGTTTATGGCAGTTACTAGGAAACCTATGGACTAATAATTTGCTTTTCAGGTATAATTGTCAGCAAAGTGTTGGGTTTGCTTCAGAGTCAGTCTTGATGTAATCTGTTAGGTAACAGACTAAATATTTGGAAGATCTATGTCTTGTTGGCAGGTAAATAAGCATCTTTCAACAGTAAGATGAACTTAAAGATTTATTTAAAACTTAAAAACATTAAGTTTCTCTGATGACTTTTTGTCACACCTGCTCTGTTACTTTTTTTTTTTAAACAGTGCAGCAGCTCTTTGGAAATGTGAATCTTGAGCATTAAATAAGCCTCATGAAGTTGCAATTTCTGCAACATTAAATTTTAAGTCTTCTGGATCTGTAGAACGGAAATAATAAACAGAATTTGAGGTTTCCTTAAAATTGATCTAGGTTAGAGCTGAAGTTAAAGATGATATTTCAAAACTTATAACTGATGGAACAACCTTTTCAGACAATGTCAAACCTGTTCTCCAATTCATGAAATAAATGCAGAGCAGTAGTTCTCAGGTCTACCAAGGGAACCAAGAATATAACCATCCTTTGGCTCTGAAGAGTGCTAAAAAGTTAAAGTATTTCTGTGTATCATTGCAAAGACCATAGCTGTGCACACAGGTAGGACATATGCACAGTTTCTATGGCCACACTGTGATGCCAATGCAAATATGAAATTTGCACAGGAAATTATACCTGCATGTGTCTATTTTATTGTATCTACTATTAGCTGCCTACCTGGACAACTGAATCTCCAGTGTTCTCTCCTGAAGCTGATAGCCAGAGTGACAAATGTCATTTAAACTACTTAGTTTGAAGTAGATAGTGATAACAAAATATCTGCCTGATTCAACAAGTTTCTGCCACTAGCGTTTGTATTGTATCTTGATAACCATTAGTGGCTTGAGCTTGATGAGGTGTATTAGTTCAGTTTGATAGCCAACCTAAGTTTTTGACTCCAGAAACAAGTTGTGCATTGTCCTCGTGATTCCTTTTCAGCACTGCAAGTGGTAGTGATGCTAGAACAGTAGCAATCTGCTCATCCCCCTTTGCATCTGGTCTGTGCAGTAACTGCAATAGCTGCTAAAAGGAAAGGCATATTTACCCATAGAAGTTTTACTTGTTTCAGTCTGTCACCATTTAAGGCTGGGCCAGCACTTAAAGCAGACGGCAGATGCCCTTCCCAGAAGGGGAAAGAGAAGGGAAAATGGAGAGAGACTTATGGGCTGGAAAGTTAAACCTACTTTAATAAAGCAATAACAGTGAACAAGAATATAAATAATATTAATGGCAATGCTACTAGCAATAGAAATGGAAACATATAAAACTCATAGCGAGCTTCCCGATGACGACGCGGCAGCTCCCAGTGCTCACATGACAGGGCAGGCACCCGGATGTCCCAGACTGGATTCTGCAGCAGGTGGGAACCGGATTCAGGAATGCACGGATTGGGGGCGGAGGCAGGAGAGCGAGCAGAGTCCCACAGGGATGCTGGCCATGAGGGAAAGATAAAGCGAAAGAGAAAGCTGATCCCCGTGATCCCTGAGCTTTATACCGAGTATCCACCTCTATGGGATGAAATACTACATTGGTCGGGCCTTGGGCACCTGTCCCCTCCGCAGCTTCCTGCAGGTGTGACCCTTTTCCGCCTCTCCACATGCGGAGCACATGAGAGCCCGCAGGGAACAAGCACACACACATGGGCCTTTCTGCATAACAGTCCTGCTTCTACTCCAGCAACAACTACAGACATCAAGCACCACCAACTCTAAAAGCAGGCACTGTCTGAAAAACCTGTAGTCACCTTCAGAAAGTGCAGTTACTTAGAAAAAACTTAACTGAAGGAAAATCTCCTGAAAGGAGTTTTGGTCCTGTTTCAGCCAAACCAGGACACAGTCAACTGTAAAAGCAAATGCTAATATTTGTAAAATAATTTTTTGGACAAATGGCCCCTTAGGCCATTGCCTGTGCAAGTCTCATGAACGTGCATTAAAGTGACATATGTATCTATCTCATGAAGAGTAATCTAGTACTTAGAGCATACCACAAACACATTTTTCAGGTCAAAAGTGTGCAAATTCAGGGGAGCGCAGACAGAGCTTTTACATGGGTTAGAGTCCAACACAGCTTGGCTTTATAAGGTCATGCAATGTACTGCAGAATCCCTTTGCACTCATGTTTGTTCAATAGTATTGCTTAGTCATGAAGGATGATATCGTTTTTGCCCTATTGCTAGATGTGCCTTTCCTGTGCATAAGTATCTCAGTCTGAGATCAGTGTGGAAGTTAACTAATTGGAGTCAGGAATCCTGGACTGTGCAGGGTACCGCCCTGACCCATTTCCCTACCTTGTAGTAGACACTCTGCAATTTTGTCTTTACTTAAGGCATTAGTGCAAGATACCTATGAAATCCGGTTATTTTATAACAAAATTTGTAATGTTATGGATCAGTTGAAGGTCAGGCCTAATTTTTTCAGTAATTATAATGTTTCTCAAGCAGTGGTCCATAAAGCAGTAATAGCCTGTAAGACTGGAGTAAGTGGACCCCACCTAGCCTGCCAAACCATATTGCCTTGGAAAAGACTGGGTAAATCTGAAGCAAATCAATGAATCTATTTTAGTAACCTAGTAAGGTTTTAGTCAGTGCTTTTGCACTTCAGGCTGCCTGAAATGTAATCACCAATTTTGTTTATTTTATAAAAGAAAGCAAAACAGAAATGTAATATAGCCTTGGGAAATATAATCCCCTTTTATTGAGTATTGTTAGTTATTATTAGAAGAGGAAACCTTTTTTGTTTGCCTTCTAGGGCATTTTAAATCTTTTTATTCAGATTTGTAGGTATAAAAATGACAGAAGCAACCAAGATGAAGTTTAAAATGAGCTGAAAAAATAATAGTCCAAGGGATGTTTAGGACTTTTAAACTTATCAACAAGGCACAATATTGAAGTATGGAGAAATGACCTTCAGAGGATTTTTTATTTGTGTAGAGAGGCATAAACAGGAATACAAGGAATACAATATTTTCTTTCATGTGTGCTTTGTTGAACTGTTGGTAAACACTATAACTCTCTACCTTTCTTGTCTTTTAGCCACATAATCAATGAGCTGATAGAAACAGAACGGGTTTATGTAGAAGAACTTCAAAGTATAATAGAGGTAAGAAACTCTTCTGAAATTACTTCTAGTGCTTAATCACTGAGTTATCACTGCGGGTGCACATCCTTCATGGGCTGAGCGCTCTCACCTCCCACCTTGTGTTTAGAGTGTACAGGCTCTGTTAGCAAGATAGCTCAGCCTTAGAGATGGAAAATGGGAACGATGTTTTGAACATCTTTCCTCAGGGCTTACGCTTAAAGGAGGAGGCACCTTTTCTGACCCCAGCCCACAGAATGATAAAAGTTGCATGGTTCTCAAAGTTATGGACAAATGAATAGTTAATAAGGTGCCTTTTCAAAATATCAACAATAGGCCTCAGAAACAGCACCCTTGATTTCCATGGGGCCAGATACTAAGTTTCTGTGAATGTAGGTTTGGAAAATGATTGAGAGAAAGGAAGGCCCTCTTCCTCCTCTTGTTTGTTGTCCCATGTAGTGTCTGAACACAGAAAAGAGCAGCTCACACTGCAAATATAACTCTCGAGCTTTTGAAACTCGTAGGATACCAGCATACTCCGTGTGTGTGGAGTCTGAGGTCCCTCATCTGTGGGAGGGTGGGGGCTGAGTAGGGCTCAATCATGCTTGTATTTGGGTGAGACTTGAAGGACTGAGTAGTTTCTTTTTACAGGTATGTGGTTGCTTCTTTATTGGATTTGAAGTGTGGGAGCTGATAGCTCTGGTAATCAATGTTTTACTCCTGAGTTCAAAATCTACACTCAGAATATTCTTCTCTCAAAGTTTTTATTGAAGAAACACAATCCAGTTTCTGCAAGAAACAACCAAATAATCAAGCCAAATACCACAGTTCAACAAATAAATCCAAACTAACTCTTCTGCAATGAAGCAGTGTAGCAGAAAGATATGTGTCTATCAAACTTAGTAGTTTCCATTCCTACATGACCAAAATGGCTTTTGAATCCTAGGGACATCATTTCGTCTTTTTTGTTGATCCAGTAACCTGTCCATTTGTGGTTAAAAATGTGTTTGCACAGCTATCAGGGGTAAAAGCTCTGGGCAAAATTAGAAGCATCAGAAATTCATGGCAGCAACAAAGAAGCAGGCATAGGAGAAGCCTTTGTGTGCTCTGTTGAGAACAAAAAGCACATAGACCTTGGGGCTTTTCAGTGTCTCAGACACAGTACTTCTCCCTTGGTAAAAACAGGCTGGTTTTACCTTCCACTCTTCTCTGCAGGGGTATGCATCAGAAATGGACAATCCCAATTTAGTACATCTGATTCCATCTGCACTCCAGAACAAGAAGGACATTCTTTTTGGGAACCTCCCAGAAATCTACGAATTCCACAACAGGCACGTGGGAACTGGTGGTTGTCCTGCACCCTCGGGTGCTACTGTCATTTCTACTCCCTTTATGTGGGGTGCTTTGTCATACTAACACATACGCAGGCAGGAAAAAAGTCATCCCCACTTCGCCTCTGTGTGTGTCCTGTGAAACCCATGTCTGGAGAACACCTCCAAGATAATCTATTTCATCTTTGTTGTGAAAGATTATACCCTTCTGTGCATTAACTAGTGATTTCCCCTGACGTTACCCATTTTGAATGTCCCTTGTGGCGAGTATTTTACCGCCTCTCTTGGTACACTTGTAGATGTCACAGGACTAAAGCATGATGTTCTTTCTCTAGCCAAACTCCTCTGTAAGAAAATTTTCTTAGTGTTCAGATATTTGTCCTATGTTTCTGTTATCACATTGGAAGACATGCTGTATTTGATAGGACTTTTCTTAAGGAATTTTATCCTTCGTATATATGATCATAAACCTTTCCGGAAGCCTTGCCCATACTGTGGACAAGGTGATCTAGTGCCCATAACTACAGAATACCAGTTATGACCAAGATTAACCTCTTTTCGATCCTCTTTCAAAACACAGAGCTTAGGGCTACTTCTGTAAATTTCCTCCTTTTCCCAGCCTTGATTAAGTAAAACTGGCCATAGCCAAAGTGAGAATTCGGGAATTCTTTTGGATAATAATAGCCCTTAAGATGTAACAAACAGTTGAATGAAATAAATAAAAAATCCCTCTTTCACAAGTTTAAATATTATGCCAGAGTAGTTGATACATAGTAGAAAAATTCTTTTCCAGTTTACGTATTATTTTGAA